TCATTTCCCGCCTTCTAGGAATCAAAATTTTCCTGGGGAAGAACCCCTGAACCCTCCTTTCTTTTCGGGATTCATCTCATGGAAAAAAATCGTATGCAACTACTCAATTTTTTTTAAATGTATGTATACACACATAACAGACCTATTTACTGTAATGAGAAAGTTTACCTTACCGTTTTCATGAGGGGGAAAACCTTGAATTTTGAAGAACAAAGTCATTAGACACCTAGCTCAAAAGTCGAGAAAGGTCATTTCCCGCCATCTAGAAATCAAAATTTTCCCGGGGGAGGAATGTTGACCCCACCACCTAGATTTGATTCCAGATTTGCATGATTCATATTCCCATTTATCTTATAAGCAGTGGCGTAACAGGCGGGGGCAGGGGGGGAGACTGTCCCCCCCCCCCTGACGGTTTTTACCGGGCTGACCAAGCCGTCGTACCGGGCTGGGTAAGAAGAGAAAAGAAAGAGGGGAGAGGGAGGGAAAGAGAAAGAAGGGGAAAGAAAAAGAACGGAAAAAGGAAAAAGGAAAAGAGAAGAGAAAAATAAAGGCAAGAATAAAAAGGAAGATATAATGAACAGATATCACAATACCCCGGCCTGCAACCCCTTCTCCACTTCAAAAAGTGTCCATATCGCCTTTGATCTAAGCCGCCAGGTATTCTCCGCAGTGGGGTAACCACCGGGGGACAAGGGGAAAATATCCATCTGTGGAAAATCTTTCCCCATTGAGTGCCCTCTTCACCCGGGAAAGTGCCTGAAAATCTCAAATTTTAAATGGCATATTTTGTTAAGGTCGGCCAATTTCCTCTAAAAATTGCACATTTTAGGGAGTTTTGATCAATTCCGACGAAATTAGAATTTAGAACAAAAAAAATTTCGCGCGCTTCGCGCCCATTTTTTAATGTTAAAGCTTGTGTTTGCTCTCCTTTGCCTTCTAAGCTAAGTTATAACACATAGTCCCAAACTCAAAGAAAGAAAATTTAAGATCATTTTACCTAAAAGAAGGGCCTCAATGTGTAATGATGTTGAAAGAATTTGTTTGTAATAAATAAAGCTATAAGGAGAATGATTATATTCAGTTTAAAAAAACGAGTGTGGCCATATATAACATAAGAGCTTGTTGAGGTAGGCCAATTTCCTCTCAAAATTGCACATTTTAGGGAGTTTTGATCAATTCCGACGAAATTAGAATTAAAAAAACAAAAAATTTTCGCGCGCTTCGCGCCCATTTTTTTAATGTTAAAGCTTGTGCTTGCTCTCCTTTGCCTTCTAAGTTATAACACATAGTCCCAAACTTGAGAAAGAAAATTTAAGGTAGATCGTTTTACCTAAAAGAAGGGCCTCAATGTGTAGTGATGTTGAATGATTGTAATAAATACTAACCACGATGAAAATGCTTATATTTAGCTTCAAACACACGTGTGTGGCCTATATTAATAATAAAATAAGCCCTATGTCGTATTGTTTTCTTTATGGTGGGTGGAGGGGGGTGGGATCACCCAAGACCGCTGTTACACGCCTGCTTATAAGTGGGGCCCCCCACTTTGAAAAACGTTCCGCCGGGCCTGATAAATTTTATAAGAACGCCGAGGTTGTTTACAAAATAGGAACCAATTGAGGCTGAGGTAAAATGTCAAATGAGGTTTTTATTTATATTTTTTTAACTATAGAAACCTATTTCAAAAGTACAGTAAAATTCGTTTGGTCTTATCTGTACCTTATGTAATTCCATACAGGACCATCAATATATAATGTATCATCGGTACACAGTACAGTCATATAGGCCTAGGCCTACTGCTATATAATAATTAAGTTCTACCATTGAATAGTGTGTAAAAAGTAAGGACTAAATAAGAACATTTCGGGCCTGAAATTGACAAAAGTATAAGAACATTACTGATCCTGGTCAAAGTTTTACTGGTTCTTTTTTATTTTATTTATTTATTTATTTATTGTTAATTGTAGGTAGGTCTAAATGAGTACAGACATTACGGTGAAGGTGTGTCCAGCAACGACCTTATAAATATTCATAAGCCGGTCTACTTGATATTTAAATTAGGGACGCGCTAAGTAGCGTCTTTCCTGCCCGAGTTTCTACTCCACCGCGACCTACTGGAATTCAGTCTGATTGATTGTAGGCCTGTATGTAAACATGGACATCTACCTAATCATCCTCTCTGTTATTGCTGTTATTATTCTTCTGTCTAATGTTTTCAGAGGAAAGGAATCGTTAATGAAGTTGGATATGGTGTGTTGTGTAATATTTGGAGCAATGTTCATTTTGTTCCCAGGCTTAGCATCAGCACATGAGGTAGGTAACCGGGTCAACCCGGCGGTGAGGCCTACGGAACCCCTTTTTTCAGGTTATTGTACAGAGTAGCTTGTCTGCAGGCTTTATGTAGTCTACTTCNNNNAGATGTGTATAAGAGACAGATTCTAACGCATTTACAATCGTGTGATAGTAGTAAAGTTAAAATTTCTAGCAGCAGGAAACCACTCATCGGAGCATGGTCGGAGTAGCTATAAAACGTGGCTGTCTACTGTTGCCATTGCTGTACTTCTAACAACATTCTGTCTAGTCTGTCCTTATTCTAGGCGTTTAAACTACTTTAAGCAGCTTTAAACACGTCCTACCTTCGGTTAAATTTTGTATTTGAATACATACATGGGCTCTGCTCTATTTCCATTGTAGTTGTTATAATAAATATTCTGGTTTATAAAGTTTTTAATATACACTTCAGTACAACGTCATACTTAACATGTAGTTTTTGTGTACAGTACTGTATACTATGTACTTGTACTACACCAATGGCTATAGTAATTTATATTTTAAATAATTGAAGATGTACTGTACTGTTCTGCTAAAATGATCTGGAGGAACTTTAAAACTTCAATTACATTTTGAGAGGCTCATAAGGATCAAATAATGATATGCTTCTAACTCAAAACCAGATTTTGATATACAGAGATTTTACTAAAAGAAATCATACATTGATTACCAGAAAATATGCTGAAGAATACACGAAAGGAATTATTTAACTGTTGTTCTCATTTAAATTTTTAATATACACAATTACTAATATACAAATCAGACAATTTAAAATATGAAATTTAAAATTCCTAGTATTTTAAAGGTCATGACTGACAGATCTTTAAAATAAAACTAGAGGTGATGAATATACATTATAGCCAAAAAGGTGTACAAGTAGGCTGTGGATATTGTCGTGAAAAGTTTACGTAATTTCCAAGGGGTTGATTGGTAGCTCACTTGACCCTAAACTTCAATCATGCTTGCTGCAATGATATCTAAATGCACTGTGGCATGTTGGAATAGTGTATGAAATATATGAGTATATATATATAAAAACCTTGACAATTATTTACAATGACATAATATTTTTTCCTAAAGCAGACTAATTCTTCCGATGGCGTGTTTCTGCATATGCTACGTGCAAGTGGATGTGTCTTGATCGGCATTGCTGTCGTTTTCTACCAGGTGCAGCAGTCAGCTGATGCTACCGTTTACGTTGTGTTGATGATGTCACGCTTGGTGGTGAGTATCAAGGTCTTGAATGGATGGGTACAGTTGTAATCTCAATAAGAATGCTGCTTTTTATGAACTCAATCCTACCTGTACTGTAGAAATGTGGGCTGGGGGACATGAGTCACCTACATCAATTAACATGCTGTACCAAAGAAACCAATTAACAAAAAAAAAAACATTTTCGTTGTAATTCATTTTGGGTAAAAAGAAGTTGATTTTTCTTTTTGTGAGAAACAGACTAAAGCTCACATCGCATTGTTAAATTTGTACTCAAATTTTGGTTCAAATGAAGGCACTTGACATTCCATGTTACACTATTCAGTTGTCTGTGAGATAGTTTGCACTTTGATTGGCTGATTGATTCACAGATAGTGTAAACAGTTTGAAGGACATAGAACATCTAAACTGGTCATATACTGTACTCTGTTTTTTTTTTGTAATTTTGTGAATTTCTTTTTTGCAGACCTGTACACTGGCTGCTGTGTGTGGATTTTACTACCGTTCACAATCTTCTACCCCCACTGATATTGTAAGTTATATCAATAAATGCTGCATTTCTGAATATGGGTTAACATAAAGTAGATCCATGATGTGTGCAGGGGCTGCCCCAGTGAGGGGTCCAGCATGAGGGCACAGTACACCAGTCAGAGGACTGAAGATGCTTTTCCTTTTGTATATAAATGATTATTTGTTTGTTCTTGCCTTCCAATCTCAGGGTCCTGGGTTCCTTCAGTTCTGGTGGCAGCAAACTCAAACTAAATCACTTCCACTCCCTAAATCTCATTATGAGTTATAAAAAAAGCATAACTTGGCCCTGTTGAAGAACAGTAGATATCTACTTAGGATACCCAGTATAAGGAAGAATAAAATTAAATTTCCTTAGAACGTTGACTGCCAGACCCTTTTTTTAAATTCTTTCCAGTGTGCCAAAACGAGTTTACAAAGATACTTTTTTGAAATTTTATCTAGTCATACAATATATCATCAAAATGGTGCATCTAATAAATTAGCAGAAAATATTAGGGGACGAGTAAACTCATCGAGGGCACTTTTTATTGACCACGCCAAGTGCGAGTTATCTCGTCCACTTTTTGCATGGAATGGTATGTGTTCAAAGGGCGCCCCCACTTGTGCCGCTCGAGTGTACTATCGGCAACATAACACAACAAACATACATACATCATTTGTACCTTATCATCTAGGTGTATCTTCGAGGAACTACTAGCAGTTGAGTCTGTGGTTCTACAATGTATAACAAAGAAGTTATAAACGCTAGAATGTTACACCAATTTTGACGAGTATACTCGTCCCTGGCGCCCTCAACAACACCCTGTGGCCGAGTATACTCGTCGCTGGCAGCCAACGTGTTAAATTGAATTGTTTTTCTATTGCAGGGCTTATTGTACATCTTTTTCCATATTGGATTTGGTGTCTTGTACATCTACTTCTTGTTGCAATCACGCGAGTGGGGAGGTCATACTCAGTTGGACACGAACGTTAACTTGCATCTTCGCATCGACTTCTTTGTCACATTAGTCTTTGGAATATTTTGGTATGCATTCCCAGAATGGGTACTTGGCTTTCAGGTAAGTACCTCAGATAAATATTTTTCAACCAAAGACATAGTAAAGATAAAATAGACATACCTGTACTTAACTAGAGTAAAGATATGAAATAAACATAGACCTGTGAAACAGACCGATTGTAATTTTTATAATTATAAAGTGCTAAAATCTGAAGTTTATGAAAATAATAAATTGATAAAGAACAATATGTAAATACAGTAAAATTATTGAAATATGAACATTATTCAAAACTAAATGAATAAACTATGAAGTGTAATAATGTACAGTAAATAATTAGATTTTGAAGTTAAAAATCTCCCTTCTAATTCCTGGATTAGTGTAATATATGTTAATAATTAGTTTTAAAATTCAAAAACAACATTGCAATATATTCTTAGTAAAAATAATTATGTTAAACAGAAATAATTAAATAAATAAAAACAAGTAATTTTAAACATTTAATACACAAATCATAGGTAAATAAATAACACCTAACAGCATGCATATTGATGACACACACTGACGCATAAACCCTAGTGGGGTCTGCTGTCAGTACATGTATATATTCAAATTCAGAAGAAAGAGTAACCTAATCTGAGCAGATTGGCATTACAAATTAGGTAAGAATGAACGATCTGAAAGGAAGGGAAAGGGTCTTAAGATCCATTACGCACACCTCATCATGTCGCATTTTCTGTGGAATTACACTAGTGGATGACCATTGGCACAGCGTGTGTTCAGCTTCAGCGCAACACACTAAACGCATGAGATGCTTTTCTGTGCAGTGATGTGGTTATGGTGGGTGGGCTTAAAGTTGTCCCAGTCTAAAGCTAATTTCATGGCCCTCCATCCACCTTTATTAACCCCCTTGCCCATTTTTAAAATCCACTCTTATTATTTAGAGTTCACCAATGTTATCATCACCCAAATGAAATTTAAAATGTCTACCACCCATCCTTAGTTTTCTGCAGCTACTGTACAACCTTGTATGTGGTAATGACCTTTTAATTATATTTTAATCTAAACTGTATTTTAAATTTTATTGTTTTCTTATTACAGGTATCTATCAATGTGACTCCACTGCAAGAGTATGCCACAATGTTATTTGCTGCGTTTATGATTGGCTCAGCTATTATGTCTAGTCACGCCCCAGGCTTCATCAGTGAACATGACCAAAGGGCACAGTTCCAAGGCCGCATCCTTGTAAGTTTGCCATCATTGTTATTGTTTGCACTGATTTGATTTGAATTTACTTGGTTCGAAATAGGAAAATTGTAACGGAGAATAAAAAAAAACCTATAAGAACGGGAGAAAAATTTGGATTCGGTAACATTAAGAACAATTAACATGAATAATATAGGAACCAAGGATAACCTTCAAAAGATATTGCAAAACAATCTTAATTCCAGGTCCTCATTGTTTCATTGTTTATTACACTGTCCAATAATTGCTGCTTCTAGGTTTACAGTTTTATAACATACTGTACATTAAGTGGATGAAAAAAATCAATGGTGTTTGGTTTCATCTGCATTTTGTTTTTATCATATTCCGGGCTGTCTAATGCAAGAAGTACAGTATTTAATCGATACACTCTACTAATATAATACAACATAAACAAAAACATTCGGATCTTGGAGAAATAACACTATATAAATAACACTATATAAATAACACTATATAAATAACACTATATAAATAACACTATATAAATAACACTATATAAATAACACTATATAAATAACACTATATAAATAACACTATATAAATGCTGAAATGTGTGCGTGTTACACACTAGTGCTCGTCTTCCAATCCTAATTCAATCCTGGCATAGAAAAGTCAAAATTCTTCCCAATACGAAAAAAAAAACAACTCCACTTCAAGACTCATAAAAAACATCGTTTGTACAAATTCAAGTACAGTACATATCGTAGATTACAGTTACTGTACACTAAACGTAAGAAAATCATGGCCGTTGGCTGGGGCCTATGCCCCTGAAAATACCCTTTTATAAACTTTGATATATTATTAAAGCATCTATGCTATAAATTAATGTCAACAATAACCATTCAGCTTTCGTTTCTTGTAAAAATGATCTGGGAGAGCTTTCCCTTTCGGTGTTTTTAAAAATTTTATCACAATTTGTGAGGTGTAAAATTTAACGATATAATATACTTTCGTTTTCCCACAGCAAAATACTATTCTCCTGCCTGCAATGATCTATGCTCAGGTGTATTACGGTACGTGGACTGTTTACCATATCTATTTTGGAATGGTCGGCTGTTTGATGTGGACGATTAACGCCCTTGTTGGTTTTATGTCCCCTAATGAGTTAGAAGAAGTCAAGTTAAAATAATACAGTCGCAATGACTCCGCAACACGGTGGAAAATGTGCATTGTTTACGTAGATAGTATTTGCTAGTTGGTACTCTGATGTTCTGAAGGGGAAAATTTACCACAGAACAGAAGCAGAGAAAGAGTGCCCATACAAATGTTTTGTCTCTCTGTGTAGATTAACAATACAGTACTGTATTTTTAACTAGGTAGGTTTTTGCAAACTCAAGTAGTAACAAATATTAACATTCTATTTTTTTTTATGTTGCATACCCATTATTCAGGCCTACAAAAATTCTGTTTTGCACTTGCAAAAAGAGCACTGCAGATGATCTCCCTATAGGCTCTGAGGGGAGAGAATTTTAGAACTTTTTAAATATTTTATAAGTTGTTAATATAATGACCAGTCCAGTAAATGACTTGTATTATATTACTGTTAATATCCAAGCCAAGACATTCTAAAGATTCACTCTGGATGAGGATTGGCTAAAAAATTCTGAAAAATTTATGATGTAACTATATTTGTTATTAGTTTTTGTAAGATTGTGAAACCTTTCAGATGTTTACTAATACATTACCATCAAACGATTTGATGATAACAGAGAAAGGGACAAAAACTTTATTCTAGATACAGATCTCGCTCTAATTAAAGGCCCCTTCAATTACAGACCACCTCCAATTAAAAACCACGTTTCTGTGGTCCCAAATACACACACGTCTTATCTTTATTGTTCTAATTAGAGACCAAATCTGCTAATGACCATAGAAGCTCTGGTCCCAAATGTGGTCATTAATTGGGGGGTGGGGGTGGAGACCTCAAGTTTCATTTTTATATTTTATGTCCAGGTTATAACAGTTCAAGCCTCTAGGCTCATTCTATTACATTATTTATGTTCATATTCTAACTTGCATTATTAATATACTTTATATGGACCAATTATTTTTATAGAGAAAAAAATTCATATATTGCAATATTTACACTATTTATAGCGTAAAATTTTTACTGCATTATCAGATTTCTAGTGTGAATTCTTAGTGCATTATCTTTTAAACAGGGTTAACAGTTGTATAATATCCAAAATGATTTTTGCACTAAATATTTGATTTGATAGTCTTTGTTTTGAATATCGAGTGTAAAGGCAGTCGCTGCAGTTTAAATTGACTGCCTCAGCTAAGATATATCCACCGGACTCCTTGCCTTTTTTTTTATTAACCCACTGATTTTATACACGGTATTTTATTGTAATTTTATGTAACATTGTTATAGAGAAATATAGTAGTTTTGATACATTTAACACTAGTATTTTAGTTATTAACACTTTTTTGTATAGTCACTTAGACTTTCTATCACTTTGTATAAAATCATATTAATATCATGAAGTATGTACCAATATGAACTAATTTATTACTTTATGTTAGGTTATTGATTATTTTATACAAATTTACTTTTCTAAAGAATATGAAATATAACTCTGGGGTAGGATTTTGCGGTAGGGGGTGCGTGAGAAAATTTTGAAAATATGGACCTCTAGGTGGCCGGAAATTGCACTCTCATACCTTGAAAATCTTACTGGTACTAGGCCTATGTTCATAGAGGGGTGCGATCACATCGTCTACACCCCCCTCTGCATCCACCCCAGTAACTGATTCAGTTCTTTAGAAAATTGAAAGAAGCAGCTAATGGTTATTTTTGATGAATTATTTAGTGTATTACTTGTGCATGATGATGTGAATTTTAACAATAAAGTTTTCTTTCTATCAAACCAGAACAGTGTATTGACTGTTAAATCTGTGGAGCAAACTATATTTGAGCTGCATTACAAAATGAATAACTGCTAAATTTTGCATTGGTTTTCCCTCTTAATTCGGAAAAAAACTCCACAAAATGTGCCTCAAAAACACAAATCAGAACATTTGCTATCGTAACATATTAAACCTAAACTTATCAAAAACATTTAAACCAATTTTTGTCAAAATATCTGAATATTTTCTTGAAAATATCAAAATTTGTACAAGAAGACTCATTTTTGTCACAAAACCTCGCATATTACTGTCTATTGAAAGTCTACAATAGATTGCAAGGACAATTATAGTACTGTACTGTATAATTATTGGCTGCTGGGACTAGAAATCTCTAAGCATTACATGCCATCCTTGTTAGGAAGAGTTGCACCAACCGGTCTTCCCCCTTTGTGACTTTTTGCTCCTCAAAGACATCATCCTCAGACCATACTTTTACCCTCCATATCAGGTATATCATAGCACCACTTCATAAATCACACAATGTGTAGCCACCCCCGGCTTTTAGAAAATAATCATGCATTTAATTTGAGCAAACATCCAACTACAGTACAATACTGTATTATAAAGCTTTGTATTGTTAGTACATACATGCGTATAGCAAAACTTGACCAAGAGGCTTTGGTTCCTGGACCCTTTCCACAGAACCATTGTGTTCTAGCATCCACAGTGCCTGCAAAAGCCCCAGCCTTATGAAGCCACAGCGTGGCAGTGTTATGCCACTGACAGTACATCTTCAAGTCAAATAACCACACAACATTTATGCCCAAAATTTTTTAATAAATTTCCATAATCAATTTCTATAGTCAGTATTCTATTAATGTGTCTCATAGAAATCTAAGAAATTAAGCTACAATACTGATAATCCCAATAAACCACTACATAATCAAGTAGTTAGCCACTTTGTTAATCTTGATCTTATTCTCATTATCATAATCTGCATGCTATTTACCATTAGACATTGCACATTCTAAAGTCGTGGACAAATGATCTCAGTTATGGATGGGATGCATGTCAGATGCTTCGTTTTTTATACCAACAATATTTCAAAGGTATTACTACAATGTTTTTAATGTAATACATTACAGTTTTTACGAAGTATTTTAAATGTTTCATTAAGAAATTTACAAATTTGATTTTAAATATGAAATGCAAGGAAAATAATAAAAATATTGTTGAAATCATATCACAGTTACAAAATACTGGTAAAAATCAACCTCTATATGCTGTAATGATATAAATAACTACCCTGGGAAGAAAAAAAAAACAAATTATGGAAAAAAAAACTGAACTTCCAGAATGTCAAGATTACTAAAATGATAAACAGAAACAAAAAACATGAATAGGACGGAAAAAACACTGCAAGATCACATATTTTCAATTCACAGAATGTGAACAAAATGTGAAAAGCAAAAAAAAAACAAAACCTTATTGCTTTACTGGCCAGACGGACAGATATATACAAAACCTTAAAGACCAGATAACAGGTGTTTGAGGCCCTGGCAACAAGAGGTATATCACAATATGTAGGCAATGTTTGGTTCACGCTATCATGCCTCAAGGCACGACTGCAAGTTGCTTGAAGAAAACGCAATATGCGGCTGCTCAATTTCACCTCTAAATCCCTGTCCAGACAATGAAATTTTATTTGACAAAAAAGTGTTGTATGCCCATATTATAGTCATGATATGCCTATATATGGTCATGACGTGATGTCATCATGGCCATATTTAGGCATGTCACATGTTTCTATCAAACAAGATTTGATAGTCTGGACAGGGCTTTATAAAAAATTTCAGCTGCGATGAGCCTTTCGCACATGCTAGCTCTCGCAAGGGGTAGTGCCAGAGGGTGGTCCAGCTCAGCCCTCACACCCCCTCCCCCAACCCACCGTCAGAGGCAGCTGGCCCAGGGAGTGCCAATTTGAGGCACATAGAGGTGACATAACCAAAACTGTTTTCACCTCAGCCCCAACTATGGTGGGCTGGGCTTGAGGTGGGTATGGTCCACCTGTTGGATGAACGATGGATCACCTGTCAGGGAAATGTTGACTCTCACGGTTTAAGAGAGAGTTAGCAACGCGGCCAATTCAAAGTGGATCACGCTGGCAATCAAGCATTGCTTACATTTAAGTACACGTATAAATGGCTCTAGTGTCCACCAAACTTAAGTACCAGTAAGTTCTGTGAAAAAGGTCAAATCCAAGTGATCCACTCAGTTATATATCTGTCTCTTATACACAGTCGGACGAACTTTTATCAAGGTGTAATAAAAATTTACAAATACTATAAAATGTGACATTAAATTTCTTAATATACATATATAAATAGCTATATTAGTTAAAATATTTATACATTTTGGTCTATTTAAACCTGAAATCCTAATGAGGATAATAATTGTGGAATTTTAATAATTTTTTGGATACATACAAAGACTTAACAAAATATTGTTTCAAAGACCTGACATACCTAAAGCTAAACTCCTAACATAAAAAGTGAAAGAACATTTAAGTTGGACGGAAGATAATGGACTAACAAGTTTGATATATACTTTAATGCAACCCTCAAAAATTAAACTAAAGCTTTGAATTGCTTATTTAAAAGAACTGAGTAACTTTCAGTAAGTTGAAGATCCAAAACAAAAATTGTTTATATTGATTTACAGGCATTTTATTATAATGGCATAAATTTAAGGGTACATGCAGAGATTATAAAATATTGTACTTTTTTAAGTGCGTAGTTTAGCAAGGACAATTTGTTTTCATTTTGATGCTATTAATCTATTGAAATAAGCAATTCTAGTTTTTCCATGTTCATTAAATTTTAGTGACGACCTCATTGAACTTCTCGTCCTATTTTGTCTTTATTAATATATTTAGACTAAAAAACTTACAGTGTACCCCCACAACACTTCTAATAAAGCAAAATTAAGTTGCAAGTCAGAAGTAGTCCATTTCCGTTCATCACAATAATCTTTACAACAATTGCTCAATATTTATTTCTATTTCTAATGAATTCTTTGAAAATCCATCATTTATAATAGAACAGAAAACAAATGAATCTATAATTATGAAAGAAAATGTATCAATTATAGGGAATAAATGAGTTAATAATTATGAAAGAAAAGGTATCAATGATAAATGAATATTTAAAAAGTTTTCATTACTGCTTATATACAAAATTTGTTTACAAAGGAAACTGCTGCTGAAAACTAAATACACTGTATGTTCTCACAAATTAAAATAAAAAAAATTTAAACCTTTAAGTTTGACGCTACATTTGACATAGAATCAAATTGTTTACTTCTATCCTCCATTTGAAGCTAGCCTAATCAAAAAAAATATGAATGAATAAATAATACCAAAATGTAAGCTACGTTGTAATGAGGACTGTTTTCATGACTCAGCCTCCTCCAAATACCAACTGAAAATCAAGGAGGCATTACACATGCAATGGGAACAGCTCTCACTCAACAAGCAACTCTACCATGTTAATTTAACATTGCCAGATTGATTCAGTTCTTTTCCTTATTGGTTGTTGTCTTTATATTTATTAATTTTAAATTGTTTTGTCTTTCGATATGGTTTGACTCGTATCGAGTGCTACAACATGTCACTATTATCTCATACATAGGACTGCATGCGTGAAGTCTCCACACTGATGATGGCAGTAGACCCTGCCAAAACATGTTTGTTTGTTTCACTGAGCACAGCAATGGCTATGGCTAATTAAACTCATGACATGAGCATCATTTATAGTGTCATCACTGTTTTAAAATAATACTGTATAAATAAAAAAAAATATTAAATTTTTAGTCAATACAAGGTGCTACTTTTTATATTTTTATTTATTTTCAGTTATTTGACTAAAGGCCAACTCAGACAGCGTCGGCCGACGCAGCCCGACGCGATTTGTTGTCGCGTCGGGTCTGTGTGAGTTGAACGCAGACGCGATGGTGTGCGTCGGGGGCAGTCGCGTAGTAGAATATTAAACGTGTTTAATATTTCTCACGACGGCTTAAGACTGTTCCCGACGATAAATCGGGTCGGGCTGCGTCGGCCGACGCTGTCTGAGTTGGCCTTAATACAGCATGCTCTCCTACTTTTACTTCCATCCTCCAATTATAGACATAATTACCAACTGCTTTTGGATTAAATTTAAATGAAATAAATAAACTGCTGTATGTAGCACACTGTGACAGCCAATTTGTGTAGCCTAGCACCAATATTCCTGTGATATACCATAAAAAATCCCATAAAAATTCAGCCGATACACTATTTGGTATTTTAATTTGCACACTGAACTTCGCCATCGACGCCAGCGCCCTCTAGATTGGCAAGAATTGCATCCAGGTCTGTGTCCATTGTTAACATTTCACGCTGGAGGTTATCCATTGCTGCCCGTTGCTGCATGTACTGCAGTAACATGGCTATATGTGAAATTTAATAAAAAAATGATATTAGTAATAATAATAATAATAATAAAAATAGGTCAATTTATAAGGTGCAAATAAACAAGATCTCTAAAGCACCATTTCTAAGTAAAGAAAAGATAAGGTGAACCTAAAAAAAAATGGAGGAAATTTAAAGATAGAGAAAAGACAAGAACAGACTATTTTACAAATTAACCAAAACAGGAAAACCACAAAAACAGACTAGTGCATGGAACATTGCACTGTTGTCTTGCAATTTGAGATCACTGTTAAGAACAGTGGTCAGCAAGATCATTACTCAGAGGCTCTCAAATGGTTTTGGAATCTAACTAGCCTACCTAAAGAAAAAAACTGAGTAGTAATAATATTCATACATGTGGGGGAGAAATGTTCTACCATATTTTAGGGGTGTTTTGTTTTGGAAGATTGACAATTGTCAACTCAATCGAAACGTCAAGACTTTCTCAACTACAACAGTTCTTTTCAGAACTACCTACGTGGTGTACTGCAAGCTTCAACATATATGCAACTAAAAATGGTCCAAAATTACTGGTCAAATTCTAAAATATTGATTTCTTTAGTAACTAGGCAACTTAGAATCAGTAAGGCGGAACCTAACCAGGTCTATGCCCTTCGACTCTGCTGGAAATTTTCAAACCTGCTGTCGGAAAGCTTTCTTTTTCACTCATTTGAACAATTTTTAAGCACTGATGCTTAATTTAAAGGCAATATTTGATGTTTTTTGGAGTATTTGTAAAAAAATCAGCTTATGAGGTACTCATTCAAATCATATCCTGGGCTTTTGCCTCATGAAAGACTGATATGTAAAATTTGGCGTAAAGTCGGGGGTGAGATTATACCCGAAATGGGCTTATACCCAAGGATCTAAATGTACAGTAAGGAGCATTGAACAGCACACTCTAGTGAAAGTTTGCTTTTTTGTAACATGTTGCAATAACTCTACCTGATAGATCCTCCATATTCTGAGTATTGGTGACATCTTCACGGAGAGCAACTGCACTGTTGTATACATTCTCCACCCGATTGGCATTAGTGGATGCAGTGGATTGATGAGCTTCAACCTGGGTATTCAGTGACATTTCTTGTACAACATTTTCTCCGTACCTCTGATTATAGCAAAAAAGAAAGAAGATACTTTTAATATATAGATTACACATAGTTTACAACGCTAGAATTCAAACTAAGGGTCGTGACCCAAAGTAGGGTCGCCAATAAATTTTGTACCATTTATAAAAAAAGCTTATTAAAAATATGTAACAATGTACAGTATTTGAATACTGGTGACAAGGATTACTGTGTGCGCATTAGCGAGAAATCCTTGTTGGGGAATATCAGATAATGATATCCTTTCCTGTGTTGTATAAGGCTTGGTTTCCATGCAATCACTACATGCTATCTCCGACAGTTTTGATTGGTTGAACAGGGGAGCATTCCGGATTGCGTCGGGGACTGCTAGGCAGGAAAACGACTGCACTGAAAATACTGTATGACAGTGTAGCGATTTTATGGAAACCAGGCTTGACATTCATAGCATTGTAGTAATTTTTAGGAAGTTTTTGCATAATTTCACCCATTCAATATAGTTTTTTGGCGCTATCATACATTATAATCATTGTATCATCTCACATTAAAGTGTGCTGTAAAGAAAAAAAAGTAGACTGAAACTGAATGGTAACAAATACATTTAACATGGTATGAATGTTTTTTACTGCTGTTTGTTTTCTGTTTCTATTTTATTATTTTTAATTTGCATAAACAACAGTAAAAAGCAATCATCATGCATACCATGATAAATGTATTTTTTTATTAAGACATTTATGAGACCAATGAGGGTCATGAAAGATTACATTGGGGTCTAAAAATAATCTCCAGTTGCTGGCAGTTTAACTTTAAGGTCGTTCCAACTAGTGGTGGCCCCCCGGGGGGATCAGGGGCACAGTCTGTAATGTTGTCAGTCTGTGAATCAGGTAAATACATAAGTAAAGAGATAATTAAATGCCAGGTCTCCTTGAGGAATTTGCCCCTTCAAATATAATGCAAAATGGAATCACCCTTTTTCCCCCCATTTTACACCCTGAATGTACAAGTGCTTCCTCAATGTTCCTTTTCGCTGTTGAGCCATACAGATGAATTTGAAACTTATGATTGTCTAGCACTAATGTGTCTAGGAGTATTCACATTTGGAGGGGGAGCTGATGTGCTGGTGTGGGGCTTGATGATTAAGTGAGGGGACTTTAGCTGGCAAAATAAAGTGATTTTCTCAATACCTTAAAGTAATTTTTTTGCCAAGCAAATTCTTATTTTGGGGTCACCACCGTTTTTAGGGACATAGATAAGCCACTGTTGCCTACTGTACCTTAGCCCATTCAATTGCATCATCCATGGTTCTGTGAAAGTCACATGATTGGTTATTCAAGGATCAAAGTCCACAAGGAAACTTGGCATTTCTTTGTTTATCCAGGTAACGTTTACAAAAAATTCACCATAAAAAAAATGTTAATTTTTCTGGATTGGATTTATTCAGTGTAAAATCCAAAGATAACCCACATAAGTCTAAAGAAGACATACTGCCATGGGTTTCTTCTAGCGGTGATTGGGCAATGCACCAGGCAGGAGACTCTACTCTTTTCCGAAGCTTGTTTTCAACGTGCACATGGCACATTGCAGACGGGTTCAAGGGCTTAATCGACAAAATACTGTGCACTATTGAAACTTGCTTTTCAGTCCAACGGCTGAAATACAAGGTGAACAGCAAAGGGAATTGATTAGGGGCGGCCAAGAAATTTCCATGGTTTAGCGCACACACAGTGGGTACCACCAGTTTAGCCAACTGAGCTATGCAGTTGTGTATCTAGAAGTCTTGAAATTTGTTGGGCTGAATATTAGGGCGCGAAGGCAAAGTACTTGGTTACTTGGTGAGTAAGTGAGGGGAGGGGAAGCTGCTCACAAATTAAGGTGATTTGTAACTACTTTGAGCATAATTTTTGTGCTTCTAACATTTCTCATGGGAGGGAGTGGTGGCACAAGCCCTTTTTTTTCTTGGGGGGGGGGGAAGAGGGCGTGGGGGGGGGGGGGGAAAGGGCGTGCATGTGTGCTTGCACCTAGAGACTTACTGTGTTTGCTGAATCAGCCTGTGAGTTTGCTACACCTGCCCTCTCAGCTGCATTCTCAGCTTGTGCTCGCTTTAATCGGAAGCAATCCTCATTGTCTGTGATGTCTTCAGATATTGTGCTGATAAGTTGGGAGGTCTCTAACCCTTTGGCAGCAGTTTCATCCCCTTTTGCCATAACCTGAATGAGACAATCATTACTTCCATTCATTCATTCATTCAAGGATTTATTAAAAATTTACATTAGCTAAATTATGTAAATAACAAAAAAAAAACATGCAAAGACATATTGCACATTACAATGTTACTAAAAGTTATAATAATGAATAGACACCTACACTATTACAATACAAATTAATCTAAAATGCAATAAGTAATATAAAAAATATTTAAGACAAGTAAATATTTCATTAAAATTTACCTAACTTATAAGTTGATATTCTTATTATTATTATTATTATTATTATTATTATTATTATTATTATTATTATATTATTATTATTTTTATTATTACTTATAGTTTAAAAATGAAACAGAAATTCAGAAATCAATTCAATTCAATTCAGATTGAATAATAAATATTAAAAGTATCTACTGGTGTTATCTTCAATACAAAAAGCTAATAATCCTGATTTACATGCAAAAACAAAACATCAGTAATGAGACATTGTATATACTTCTGAATATATTATGGCCAAAAAATATTTTTTTTTCTTCTCTCTCTCTCTTTCTTTCTCTTGTGGTTTGACAAGTTGTAAGTGACAAGGGGGCTTGTCCTGTCTGACAAAGCTCATAAAAATTGAAAATTGAGATAAAATATTATATAATATTTATATTAGGCTTGTCTTCCCAAAACCGGCATCAGTGAATAAAAATTGAAAATCGACTTTTCAAAATATTCTTATTTTCCACATTATAAGCTTTAAAATAAAGGGACATTTACTGGAATCCACTTACTATTGCCAAAGTTATGATTGAAAGTATTTTGGCTTCTCTTTAATAAAGTATACAGTACTGCCAAATTCTTATGCTAATTACTCAAGTTTACGCAGGTTTTTGGATGGCAATAAGCCTCATATTGGTGATGTCTTCAATGTAATAATGTTAAGACTTACAGCTTCAACAACAGCTTGAATATTAGCAATAGCAGTGTCTGAGTCAGAGACACTCTGAGCAGTGCTGGCTCTCGTAATCCCTGCTTCCGATATATCTGACTCAATGCCTAGAACTTTGTTGTAAACCTGTTGCGAGGCCAACCTGAAAAATATACAACACAGGTTTGATCAAACTGTAATTCATGAACTGACGGAATTGAAAATATTTCAATTGATTTTTTTTTTATTGCAACAGAACTACTAATAGGGTTCCATGTTACAATATACAATAGATGAAAAGCGAGTAAAGGAAACTGTGTTTTTGAACAAGATAAAGAACAGGTGGATTCCAAGGGTGGTGCCAGCTTTTCCACCACAGGTGGTTTATCATTCCAGGACAGATGGGCTAGAGTCCACACCTACCCTCAGCCCTACTGTGTTTCTTTTTTCCCCCAAAATATTATAGCTCCCCAATGGATGGGCCTGACTCAACCCAGTGGCAGATCCAGGAATTTTAAATAAAGGGGATCCTGAGAGGGACTTTCACAGATGGACGGTCTCAGCCCCAAAATGGTTGGGGCTGCGGTACGAAAATTTATATGACATTATTGTCCCACAAACGCACATATTGTCTCACAAACGCACATATTGTCCCAAGAAGGCACATTGTCTCACAAACGCAATATTGTCTCACAAACGCAATATTGTCTCACAAACTCACATATTGTCTCACAAACTCACATATTGTCTCACAAACTCACATATTGTCTCACAAACTCACATATTGTCTCACAAACTCAAATATTGTCTCACAAACTCACATATTGTCTCACAAACTCACATATTGTCCCACAAACTCACATATTGTCTCACAAACTCACATATTGTCTCACAAACTCACATATTGTCTCACAAACTCACATATTGTCCCACAAACTCACATATTGTCTCACAAACACACATATTGTCTCACGAACGCACATATTATCCAACCAATGCACATGTTTCTCGAAGTTTACACTGTTATTTTGTTCCAACACAAGCTACAATATCTAAGGGGCACGGATTTCACAGTAAGTTCCTTCACCACAGTAGTAGCTTACTGAGCTTCCAAGGTGGTGTTCAACGTAAGGTCAGCCTCTCTCTTCTTGTTTGCTGCATCTGCGTACAATGACTCCACCAGATCTCCAGAGATATCGATGCCATTTATTGCCGTAGCTAGCTGTTCCATTTCACTGACAGGTCTTAATGTTTGGGACTGAACCTCAGCTGATATGACAGCGATTTCAGCATTGGTACCATCAGCTACTCCAATCCTAGCGTAAGCATCCAGTGTCCGTATGTAGTGATTGGTCATATCACTCTTGGCCAATGCTGCTGCTTCCTAAAAAAATCAAATTTGATTAAAATTAGGTAAAGGGAACTTTTTATACCTTGTTTACAGCCAGCGGAAAATTAAAATAAAAATTTATTTGGTGTTGTCATATCAATTGTATATAGGCCTTGTTTGTTTGAACTGTGGAAACCAATGTACCTTTTTAATGTGTCAATCAAACTTAATAAGTGACCAATCAGAAGAGGCCAGCAACAGGCGCATTTCTAACGAACACATGTGTATGTTTTATCACTGTCGTTTAGTGGAACATTAGCAACAATATTCAAGGCAAAGCGGGACGGTCCATTCTCAAGGTGTACCAACGTTTTGACAAAATAAATATATTTTAATCTGGATTAAATGTAATTAATTTACCAAACAATTTGAATATCACTAACTTATATAAACACTATGATTATTTGTTTAAGAAACCAGTTTAAAATATTGCACCTTCGTCCAGGATTTTTCAAAATAATGAAACTCATATTCAATCAGCCACCAAAAAGGTAATTTATGTAGCCCTGTGTTAGCTCAATAGAGATATTATAGTGAATAATACCTAAATAGTTAGCTGTAAAATTATTCCTTTAAAGTTTAATCTAAAGAGGTAAAATTTTGCTTGTAGTTGGTTTGTATGATGATTTGTGAAAACCCATCTTAAGTGATGTTTACAAGTGAAACTATTTATTATTATAAGCACTATTCAAATTTTATTTTTGACTCAAACATGTGACTTGCCTAAATATCTATTTAATATATATAACAAGATGTTCATTAAAAAGATAATGAAGGGAAGCACATTACAAAACAAATCTAAAAATAAGCACGCCTTCAGTTGTCATTTTGTGTGTTTAATTTATATATTTTGAAGAGTGTCTTTAAATTCATATATTCTGTTAGGAGTGTCTTCAGAGACAGGCCAATCCTAGATCTCTATTTTGATTCTCGAACATAGCAAACATTCGCTTATTTTCTTATGTATTATTGTTATTTATCATCACTTATGGTCAATAAATACATATGTCCAGTTGATTTTGTACAATAAAGTAATCTGTATCTGTATATATGGGCATACAAAGTTTTTTGTCCAAGAAAATCTGACAATCTGAACAGAACTTTAGACAAACCTCGTATGCTGTAGCAGTTGCAGCAGTAATATCACTCTTCTGTTGGGCCACTGACGCGTTGAACCGTGCAACTTCACTTTCATACACCTTAAAATTAGCTTCTTCCAGTCGCAAAAGGGCCTGCTCTAGTGCAATGTTAGCAGTGTCATTTGTGCTCTCGGCTATCAAGTTTGCGGTTGTTGCATCAAAGCTGATCGAGCCCGTTTCATAGGTTTCCCGAATTGACTCAATTGTTGCTAACTGTACCTCATTATGTTCATACTCTGCCCGTATCACTGGACTGTTAATAATGTCAAGAGTGCTCTGACGTTCGGTTATGGCAACGCTTGTCTCCGACAATAGACCTCTGACCTCCTGCCGGAGTTCATTGACCACATCGAGGGATGACGAAACATTCTGGTACAGGGATTCAATATTACTCCAGGCCGAAGCACCTGAATTGAACAGGTTTGTCTGGGTGTCCACCAACTGCTGTAGCCGGTTTTGTAATTGTTGGATGTTCCTTATCTCCCCCGGGACGACCTCAACACTTCCATCATACGACCTCACTGGATCGGATATTATTGTAACATTTGTAATGTAAGCCATGACAACGTCTAAATACTCAGTGATTGCAATAAGCTCCTCTGTTACCTAAATATATAAAATGAATAATATAAAATACTATATAAATACGATAAGCATGAAATAAGATGTGTATAAGAGACAGCTCGGATACTGTCAAGTTATCATAGTGACTCAGAAGTTCTGAAGAAATGAGAAAATGTTGTCACATTACACATGAAAACTGTATCCACTGATAATAAGTATCTTACACCCAATCACAAGACAGAAAATATCTGTTCCAATATTTCCCTATCAAGATTATTAGCTTTCATATGACTAAACCACAATCAAGAATATCATTTTAGTTTTAGTTTTAATAATTGACAGTTTTAGTGTCTTTGTAATATGCCATATTAGAGTTCAGAGTCAACATTTGGGAATTTAACAACATTATAAATGTTAAAACTTTAGAATAATCACCCCCCCCCCCCCACGTCAATGTTGTAGCAGTCTTCTTTCTTAAGGCTATATACCATATGCTTTTGGTGTTAAGCATTGATTAAGCTCTACAAAAATAAATAATTCCTTATAAAATCATATGGGTTTCTTGGCAACAATTCCACACGTCTACACTCAATTGGCTGCTTGCATCCTACATAATACATGTGATACATTATACACATGTCATATAAATACATTGAACTCAGGTATAAGTTTAGAATACTTACCTAAGAGTGTATTATACTGCTGCGTTAGTACACCACCGAGCTCCTCAATGTACCCCCTCCAGTCCTGAAAGCATTCTGGACACGGTTCACAGTTGGGATATGATCCAACAAACACCTCCGCTACAATATCGTTAACACTATCGACCCGCCCGCATCTGTCGCACGCTTGCCCAGCAATCGTTGGTAGTTTGCATGTGCACTGTCCGGTATCGACGTCACAAGGGCAGAGTCCCGTTTCAGAATTACAAGTAGAGGTGTCTGTACCAGTCGTATTACAATTACACACTAAAAGACAAAATTGTGATCTAGTGAAATATATGCTAGTCTTCATTGGTAGATCCATGACCTTTTTTAACCAGGCACAAGTAGTAATGGATGCAGGTCTTGGGCTGTTTCATTCCTATTGTGTTGAAGCGCTAAATTTTTAGCAATTTCAATTTGTTATGAGGTACATTTCTGTAAATATTTTGAATTAAAATAAATACAGTACGTGACAAAAAGCAGTAAGGCTGCCAAAGCTAGAATAAGGTACGAAACTGTCATCCAAGATGTGTCTATCCACATAATGTGTACACAGGCAACAGAAAATATCTTAACATCTTAAGAAAATTGACTTACATATACACTCCTCATCCACATTGTAGTATCCTTCAATGCAGCCATCACACTGTCTGTCAATCACTCTGGATTTGCATGGACATTGGCCGGTAATCTAAAAAAATTATTTACATCATATTAACATCTATATTAAAATTACACGTATTTCAAAGCCTAAAATCACAATGCAAAACCGAGGGCCTCAATAAACATCTGGGATTCAAAATCTACCGGTCTGAAAGACTGTAACATAGATCATAAAAGTCTTGATCTCTCGAAGTGAATATCAATCCATATTTCATAATAATTATGGGAAAAAGTTTTTCACTGAACTACATGCCTTTCCCTGGACTGAATGTTGTTTAATTATTACTCAGTCTTTTATTTGGTTTTATAAGAAACGAAGAGCAACATTCAACGAAGTTTTTTTGGTTTTAGATGGAACGCCAAAAGAGCAACTTTCAAACACAGTTGATCAGGGGCGGATCCAGAATTTTTCAAATGGTGGGGGGGGGGATGTGGACAACAATATATTCAGAATAGATAATTTGAATCGCTAATTTCAATATATGCATTGAAATTTTAAAATTTAGTGGCAAAAACAGGGGGCATGTGTTGGGCCCCGTGCCCCCTACTCGATCCTTCCCTGTTGATTTAAAAGCATATTAGGATTTCAGGCACAGTCGGTTAACAAACACATTCGATTTTTGTCAATCACAGTCGGTTTTTGGGCTTTCCAAGGAAATGATGGAGAGAATACAAGATATTTCCCCATAGCAATTAACACAACTGCTGTTTCATCTCATTTTAGTAGTTTATAAATATTTTAATGTTACAAAAAATGATATGAAACTGATATCAAACCATGCAACCTATCTTCTTTTAGTGATAATATTGTATTCTTATCAAAACTAATTTTGATGCTCACCTACTAGAAGGTAAGCGAGCCTTATACCAGAGTCTCAAAATCACTCTATTGGAAAACAAGTTATCCAACAAATATTCAAGATCATTTAAGATACAATAGAAGGTGATTGTACACAGGCATACCAAGTCACATTGTGTTAAAGGTCCGGTGGTTGTCCCTTCTGGGTGACAGTCACACTCAGTGCAGCCGACCTCTGTGTCATTGTATCCAAATGACAGGGGAGCACACTCTGTACACTGGTCACCAACAACATTGGGATAACAGTAGCACTGCCCTCTATCTTGCGTGCAGTTACCGATGCTACCGATTGTGTTGCAATCACAGGCTGTGGAGAATAATACATGAAAATGTTGAAGAGTGTTTGAAGGAACATTAAGTAAAAAATATCTACACTTTAAACATTGGTGGTGATAATAATGATGATTCTGATAGTAATGATGATGATGATGATAATGGTGATGATGATGTTGATTTAATGATAATAATTATGGTGATGATGATGGGGTGATGATGATGATGATGTTGATATTGATGATGACAGTTTACACTACAAAAGATGAGAATGATGATGATGATGATGAAAAAATTGATGAAGTTGAGAATATTGACAATAAAGATATTAATGATTATGATAATAATTATGAATATGATGCTGATAATGACGATGATGATATTAACAGCTCTATTCTCTAATAAAACCTTTTTAGATTTTAAATCAAACATAACATATGACCAATCAGGAAAGGGCCAGAAATATGCACCTGTTCCAAAAACGTGTGCTTCCACAAGCGCAATTGTTTACGTACCGTTTAATTAGATCTTAACAACATCCAAGGAGAGGGGTTTTTAGCTGAACGGTGCATTATAATAAAAATTTCCAACTTGATATAAAAATAGAACATGTTTTAACAAAAACTTCAAAGACCTGATAATGCTGCTTCAAGGCTATTCAGTTTTATTTGTTAAATTCCAAAGTTCATGAACTCATTACAAATACAAAATTCTTATTACCTTGGCAATTCTCAATGTTTCCCCAGTATCCAAACATACATGTATCGCATTCCATGCCTGCAGTGTTTCCCGTACAATTCCTGCACTGCCCTGTGATGCTGTTGCATAAGTGTAGACTAAGGCTACAGAAACAAGGCGTACACTGTCCACCACGGTTCTACAAAAATAATCAATGGTGACATTTTTGGTTACATTTTGCTAGGTGTTGTGAAATTTGTATTATCTCGTATTATCATGAAATACTGATACTACCGTAAAACCTCAATTTGAAGCCCAGGGCTTCCTCTTTTTGCAAACTCTGGATGCGCTTCTTTTCGAGGCTACTTTTGCAAAGTAAAGAGTGGGGGGGGGGGCTTCTTTTCAAAATGAATGCTGTAAATTTTGGGAATTACTACTATAAACAATAAATAGGATCAATGTAGCATCAATCTGTATCACTGAGTGTATTAACTGGCATTAAATCACCTAAACACTAAATAAACCAAGCAGGAGTTTAATTTATTTTGTTGCTTTGAAATTCATGTACAGAGTATGTATAGTACTATATTATGTAAAAAAAAAAGCCAATGCTATCTTGCAAAGAATCCCATGGGCTTCTTTTCGAGGCTAATTTTGCAAACTAAAGAGGGGGCTTCAATTCAGGATGGGCTTCTTCTCAAGGTTAAGCCCTTTACGCTTCAATTCGTTGTTTTACGGTACCTATGGTATTTTCCAATACTAAAATTTCCATCCAGTGCATATCATACGCTTATAACGATTGCACCAATTTCAAGCTAATTTGCACAGTTTACCAAATGAGGAGTGGGTATAAAATTGACTTGTTTAATAATTCAAATGTAAAAATGAGAAATTCTTGCATGACCAGATAGCCAATGGAGGGTAAAAGTAGATTTATAGGTGTAATAATGTCTTGTGTTAGAGCAACAAGTGGACTGGCAAATCATTCCTGATGATGACATAATTAATGTCGAAATATTGAATAAAAAAACGATGGCATGCATCTACTTGGAGTATGTATTATACAATCTTATTTGGACTGGAGAATGTTGAGGGCTTTTGCACCTGATAGAGGGAAGAATGCAAAAACATAAGCAGTTAATTTATATTTCATCAAAAATATTTTGTAAAGATGATGAAAACAATAAAATCAGATATACAAAACAAGATTACTAGACTGAGGCAATTATACAGAAAAGCTCAATTTCAAATTTAAAAAACTATTTTTAAATTGCTATAATTAATTTCTTATTGAAGTGAAGCTCAAATTGAAAACTCATTATTACCAGGAAGTTGTTTGGTTGCCCATAGTAACCTTCAAGACAGTATTCACAGCGCAGTCCGGCGTGGCCAGTTGCACAACCTTCGCAAATTCCATTATCATCACACGTAGCAGCAAATGAGTTCTGACCTGCTGGTCCAGGGCACATACACGGCTGACAGTCGTCTAATATTATAGGAGATAACACACAAACACAGTGACGTTAGCTATAACTTATGAGCGGAATAATTACCTCAACACACCAACTATTATATAATAATGCTTGCGGTACACAACCTAACATAGATATTTCTGAAAAAAAACTGTTGTTTGTTGACCAATAAGCAGTTTCTCAACAAACAACAGTTCTTTTTAGAACTACCTACGTGGTGTACCAGAAGCATTAATATATTATTACTTCGCCATGCAAAACTTCAAACAATTAACAAACTATTGCCATTGTTGGTAAAGGGACACCACATTGAAAATATGAGGCGTTTGTATAGGAAAGCGCAAAATAGCCAGGAGCGGAGTTTAGTTTCTTTAGCTGAACCAAACTTTTTGAGCAAATGCCCTATTGTATACAAAGACAAACAATTATAAGATCAAAAACAGTAAGATACATGAATTAGAACAATTAAAAAAAAAAAAGGTATCTGATTACAAAATACATATGTCATATGTTAAAAAAGAATTATAAATGATAACAAGGCTGTAGTTATTGTTTTAATGAAATTATGTATATGTGAAGTCAGTGGATCTTGTCTGAATCAAACTTTAAACATTAATTTTGATATCCTTATCCAATACGGCATATTAGAAGAATAAACACTTAATAAAAAGAAAGTACGGCATAAATACCTGATACGGGACAATATAAAGATAAAATATTTTAAAAATAAATTTATCAATGTAAAACTCATCACACAACATAGATCATTGGTTTTACCTTTATAAATTTATTGTTTATAATACTCTATATACCAGAGAATATAATTTATCAGTTAAAATTTTAACTTGCCATCCTTAAACTTAGAGTTTTCCATAACTATAAAATCATCTCAAAAATGTTTTGTATACAAAATATGTGTACTACCGGTTAAACACTGCCTTTATATAAATAAAAGAAGAAGAAATATATTTGACCCAAAAAAACGGAATATGAAATATCTTACCCTCAGTCCCTTGCAATGCATCACCATAGTAACCGTCGGCGCACAGCTCACAGGCATCTCCAGCAGTGTTATCCCCACACATATTGCACACCCCAGTATCAGGATCACACGGCACATCCGAATGCCCATTGCAAAAACATGGAATGCACAGACCAAATGTCCCACTTCCTGGAACTTCTCTGGTGAACCCTGGTGCACACACTTCACAAAATATACCCTACAAAATAAGTTATCAAGTGAACACTTTCCATGATCTAAAGTACTTGAAAAGTATTTACGTATTTATTTGCCTATTTAATGAATATTTAGTGAAATATTTACCTGGTAATGAATAAATTTATTCAGATTGTCGTAACAATATTTTAAGTTAAATTTTGGTAATCTGAGATCAAGAATTGTTTTGGAAAAGTAAAATTAAAATTATTACCTTCCAACTTTGACGATGATAATGTACACACTGCCTAGGGATAGTGATCGAACCGAGGTAACTCAGTTCAGTTCATCAGTCCATCAACCAACATTCATGATTATGCCTTGTTGCTATCACAGGCAAAACGACGAAGTTGGAAGGTAATAATTTTACTTTTACTTTTCCAAAACAATTTTTTGATATACTTACCTGGTATCTCACTTATAAACTACTACATCATTGATGATTTGTGTAACTATACTATTTAATAAAACTATACTATTTAATAATTTTAATAAGTTACAATAATTTTATATATTGTGGCCAAATGGTGTCACAAGTTTGCAACTTTTCTCTGCTCATCCACAAATTTTTCATGCTCTTATGAAATTAATATCATATTTTTACACTTTTCCTAGAATGTAAGTCACAGGTTTTCCTCAGTTAGGTAGCCTGTTTTCAACCGAGATGTTGCCTTTCGTCACGGCAAAAAATAAAATTTCAGAATAATTTCTCCGGCCCCCTTAAGGTACGAATCCCCACGACTTTTGTAAAACTCATATGTATTACACCACTGCTTCCCAGTGTATCCATGACCATAAGATCGTTTGTATGACAGAGCCATCTGAATAGAAATGTTTACGAAAATAGAATAACTATTATACTCGGGAAGCTGCTTATGAAATTAAATAAAACTTAATAATATTGATATAAAACTAAAACACTCACAGCATATCCGACTGGGCACTGACAGTCTTCCACATTGTTAAGGGGCTCTCCTTCAGTTTCATTCACTGCATAACTTAGCATCACCTCATGCAAGAACACTGATTCCTTAGGCAACTGCAAATTAATAAAAAAAATATATATATATCTTAAAAAATCAATTGATCATTTTAATACATTGTATTAAACAATAAATTATACACTCTCCACTCTACATAATAAATCTTACTACTGGTTCATTGTTTTAAATTAGTGTTATCTTGTGTTAGGTATTATATTGATTATTATTTTTTATTTACTGAAATGAAAATCTATTTTTTTTTCATTATTTGTAATTCATTTATCTAATTTATTTTAATCAACATTCACTGAAAAAAAAACTTAACAAATAAACTTATATTACAAAATAAATTATAGAGCTTACAATATAATGTACTGTAACATATTTTATAGTCAATGAAATAAACATATGCAAATTGAGCAAATTCACTTTCCCATCTAATTTATGATTTTATGAGATTTGTCCATGGATTTTCTTCTCAACCACAATATATTTTGTTTAAGAAATTGTTACAGATTTTGTTGATCTGTTTAAACCATATTAGTTTTTATGTTATATGTTCTTTTGTCGTATTATGTAAATATTAATAGAATTTATATGAATGTATATGTTTAATATTTTATGTCATCATCTTCGTTTTTTGGGCAGATGAAATCATTTGGTGATAGGAACGTGTTCTCCTTCGTCTGACACTGTCGTCTGTATGTTTTGTCCTCTTGATGTTTTGTTGGAGGAAATAAACATAATATTATTGTTATTATATTAATGCTCTCACATGATCAGCTTTGGTTTGATGGACAAGCTATGTGGTACTGTTTCCTTATTATCACCTAACATGATAAATACATTTTTCAATTTTATAATCGATTTTATATAGCCGGAGTTGTGTATTGAGCTAGCTAGCTTCTATGGCTAATGACATGTACACTTTTTCTATGAATGGAATGACCTGTACGAAGCACGAGCTCCTGTAGACCAAACCCAGTACCGTTACGATTGTAATCGTGCGGGAAATTTACACGTAGTACTGTATATTATTATTACCAATACATTACCTCTGTGTACTTGGCTCTTATGCGAATGTCACTGATACCAGCGAGGACTTTCATGAGCTGAGCAAAGGATGCCTGAGGTCCAGTGGCTGACCCAATCAACCAGTAGTTCTCATGAAGCTTGAACTGAAAGAAAACATGAAAAAATAAACAGTTGACTGATTGTTAGAACTATGGATCATAAATAAAACTAAATAATAATGTTGCTATGCTCACAAAGAGCACGTGATAGTTTTTTATCTAGAGCATTTTCCCTTAGTTTGGACTTCGAGTCTGTGGAACCTGTCCTTTTTCATCTTCATTTTTTTTCTTCTTTTCTTTTTGTGTCTGATGTTTTGTGATGAGTCGCAATAAATTGAATAAAGAAATAACAATTATTAATGACAATTTTGATGATTTTCAACATAATAATTATGATTTCACTTTCAAAAATTCTATTAGTTATTCCATTCATTGTACTTTTATTCAAAGAAGCATACTAATAGACTTTACAGTATAAAACTGACTCTAATCTATGGACTATCAAACAAACAAAAATAACACCTAATGCCCACATTTGTAAAGAGATACTATAAACTTTTAAATTATTATACACAAAAAATTAATGTTAATTTGCTAATAAATAATGTAAATACATCATTTCATGTGATATCAAATCAACCAAACAAATGACAAAGATTTCTTTCAGTGTTATAATTGTTTTTAAAACAATACCTCATAAGTAGTACTCTCAAGTCCTGGATTCATAGGTAGTGCATTGACGAGTGGCTCATCAGCATATTGCCCATAAATAAAGACATCTCCGTCCATTGATATCGTCTGATTCTCAATTGTAGATTGGCTTAGGCTTAAGCTGAGTATCTGGCCGTAGGCCGTACGCCTATCACCCTGGTACTCTTCGGGCGAGACGAAAAACAGATCAGTGAGGTTGGTCGGGTCAGTTAAGTCCAGAATGAATCTAAAATAGATTACAAGATTAAAAGAAATTTGATATACTAAATTAGTCACAAATTCAAAGGGAACTGTGGCTGTTCCAGGAATTCAAAATAGAGGTGGGCTAAGGGAGGGACTTTAACAGATGGTGGGTCTAGACCACAATCGGCCCCACCATGGTTGGGCTGAGGTAAGAAAATCTATGATTATGGCACTCTAGATGGCCGGATTGGCATTCTCATACTTAAATTTGAATGTAAGTTTTCTCCATTTTTTAGAAAATGTTGACAAATTTAAGGGTTGAGCCCCTTGCATCCACCACTGAGAAATGTGTACAATACAAGAGTAAAGTAATTGTCTGTGTGGCCAGTTCCAATCTTCTGCAGTCAGGAGAGGGCTAAAATAATTTTGTACGATCCATTTCCTTTAATACATGCCATCATATTACATAGGTCTATAATATGTATCATTGGTTTATATTAGATTGATGACATTTTTCAACATCAACTATAAAAAATAGGCTGTGGTTTGTAAAAATGAAGGAGTTAAGCAGTTATACATTTCAGAAAAAAATCAGGCGGTGAAACTTTCACCTCATTGTGCTTAATCTTCTTAAATTATTGCACAAAAGTTTTTATGCTCCTACCAGAACATACTGAGTATTCGGTACGATAACATGTAGAGCAAACATCACTCCTATGATATTTTCCTGATGCAAACTCACATCAAAATAAATTAAAATTGATACCTTGGATCAAGAACATCAAGAACTGGCAGGTCAACGATCGCGATTTCATCTCCATCACCATCTATCCCAGTCCATCTGGACTCAACAGCTTCAGAATTCAACAGGGACCAATAGCTGACTTGTGTGTACTTGACCCACCCTTCTGTAGTGGAACAGTCCGTGCCACGTTCAGAACAGAAGCATGGAATACAGCCAGTCTCACTCCATGGGCCAAATCCATAAGTGGCTATGGGGGAGGAAAAATGGACATCTAATGTAAGTCACTGATAAGTCTACCCTAATCAATGAGAAACAAGAGATCTGGCTTACAAGAGTAGAGTTATCTTTTTGCAACTATCATTTCATAATAATTCATAAGGGATGTGTTATTTTTAAATCTATAATACATAAATTTATATAATTAATTAAGTAAGTAGAGAATTTTCATAGATTTGCATTGTATATTCTTTATATTTATTTTGTTTCTGCTGTGCTGTAATTGTACTATATACTATGAAAAAATTAAACCTTGATTCTTGCTTTCAGAAAAGTTATTAATATTCAGCTGTTTAGTAAGTTCTTAATAAGTGAATATATAAATGCTTGAAACTTTTTCAGCAGGATACATCCTCAGGTAAAAAAAAGCTTTATAAATGCTTATAAAATTATTATTATTATGATAATTTTTTCCAACATACTTGGTCGACATGTATCACATTTTGCGTTGACTGTGTTTGCTTTGCAGTGGCATGAACCACTGTTATCGCACGTCTCATTGTAACTGCCATCAAGTGCACAATTACAAGCCATACAACCATTCGTAGTTAAGTTGAAAAACCTGAAGAAACATATAGCAAAATTTATTCCACTGTGCTCTTTTGAAGTGTTTACAAATCATATATAAATGTTGATATGCATCCCATAAAAATGTGCTAAAATAGGAAGAATCAAAGGGTAGGTTTACACTAGAGCTTTAGTATCCAGATCAGGAGCTAACCATTAGGCCTAACTGTTAACATGTGTGTGAGAACGTTCGATCGGTTTGCGCTAACTGTTACCAGGAAGAGGATACAAGATTGCTTTAGCGAGCGCTATCAGTTAGCAAGTTAAGCGTGTTTCTATCATTAACCAATCACACGTACGCATTTTTTAATTTCCAGTTTCCTATTGGACAGTGATCTTACCATCTGGATCCTGCTTACCATTAGATAAGATGTTTTTAAGGTTCATTCACACTATTAGGTCTTATTTGATAAAACCTATGTGAATTTCCCATATATGGGAAATATGATGCCATATCACATCCATATTTGGGTATGATGCCATATCCTATCCATATATGGAAATTATGATGTGCCATATCCTATCCATATATGGATATGATGATCCTATATCACATCTAAATATGGACATGGGCATTATGATGATATATCATATCCATATATGGGCATGATGATATCATCACATCCATATATGGATATTATGATGATGCCATATCACATCCAACTATGGGCATGATCATGCCATATCAAATAAATATGGGTATGATGATGCCATATCATATCCGTATATGGGCATAAAAATAAAATTAATTATCTACCTTAAGAAAAACAAGATAACAGTTGAAAAAGATGCTTGAAATAGTAGTCGGGTACGAAACAGAAAAAAATATTATATATATATGGTAACGTTGGTTGCTT